ATTCTTATGTTAATCCCCATACATTACATCATTAGTTCTAGATGAAGTGTTCCATGATTCATTGTTCGTGCACAACACCCAGTGCTCCATGCAGAGCTAGCAGTGTTTTTAATGGTACTTTCTGGAACAGTTCATTAAAAAAAATGACTGTCAAAAAATTCAAGCCAAAATGATGACGGGAAGAAATGGAGCCAGTCAACTGCACACTCAGAGCAAACAGAAACTTGGGAGCAGCTGGCTTCCTAGAATGACGGCTTCATTTCAAGGAAGGAAGGAACTTTATGGGCACTTGTCAAATGACAAACAAATTGTACATGAACAACATTACAAGGGTCTCGAATATCAAAACAACGTCTCAAGACAGCATCCAACAAATCAAGGGCAATGTCCAGTCATTCTCAAGTCATGTGTGACACCAACCAGCCTGGTGGAAGAAAGAAATTGCTGATAAAATATGTAAATCTTTCTGCCCACCTGCCACCTTAATCAAACCCTGCCATGGCTTGGTTGAATTTGGGTAAGTGGCTTCACTTCCCTGGGAGATAGACTGGGAGTGCTCACCACACCTATTTTTAGGACTGATGTGAGGTTTAATTAGAGAATGGTTGCTATGGGTTTGGAATTTCTCTGAGAAAGAAATCACATAAACACGATCTTCACTCCCAGCTTTCTCTCAAGTCTTTCTTCTCCCTCTTTTAAGGAGACAACTCTGAGAAGATAAGGCCACCAGAACATTAGGTACTACTAAATTGGGCCAGTAGTAGCTACCAGGACAAACAAACTTTGAAGGCTTAAAGGAAGCAGGGAGAGGCACAGAGACTATTGACATAATAGCACTGTGGAGATTCATGCCAGATTTAAATCTGGTAGAGAATCTTACTGCCCCTTACAGGAGGCCTGCCCCACGTACACAGATTCCAGTATACTTAGGGTAGTTTGCACCTAATCCCTATGTATTTTAATACCAGTAATATGACGCAAGGGACCTGGATGATATAGCTGAAGAATGATCATAAGCTGTAAATGGAAGCCATGATGGAAAGAGGACTGGGAAGTTATATAAATGGTGTCATATTCAAGGAAACACTTCCAATGCTCAATTTAGGTAATGTGCAAAGTCTGATTCATTCTGCAAAATGCTACTCAAGGGCTAGGAAAAAACCCAAGGAGTTAGAACTCCAATAATCAAAATTAGAAAGCCAAACTTGCTTTTCTTTCCTCCCCCCACCCCAAAAACATACTTCTGAAGTTTCTCTCCTCTACTGTAAATTCAATATGGTAACAGGGCCTTTGACAATCCCAGTTTGGTTTCATTTCTATTTTGTGTCCATCTCGTGAGCATGTGTGTAGGTATTTACATGCAAAATACAAAGGGTAGAAAGTATTTATTTTGGGATACTGACTGTTCTTTGAAATAGAAAAATGTATTCCTTTCCCCCCTTAAAACTCTGGCAAAAAAAAAACCACCTACTTGCTGCTTTGATGAAACTTCTTTGAAACTGGTACATCATGAGTGGTCCTGGAAGCATTCTGGGATAAAAGGATATACACCAGTCAGCTTAATAAAAACAAACAGACTCTAAATAACAGCGTAGATGCTGCCCAACTATATACAGACTAAGATCAAGGGACACAATAGCAACTCAACTTAGTCCAACTGAGTTTCCCGTTTGAAAGGGTCCTGAGATTTCCCGTGACATTTTCATGCTCTTTCTTCTTTAAGGGAATGGATACAACTACGTTTCCTAGTTACAACTAGGAAAGTGCTAATGTGAAAGTCTAGCACAAACCAAGAGATTTCCTTTTCAGTCAGTGACTCACCCATTGACAAGAGCATTTTAAGATGTGTCTGAGAAAAAGGCAACTAACTAAACATTTGTAATTACCTGTGCTTAAACTCTTGTCTTCCCAGCAGCTTGTTATCAGAATCAGTTCATCTGGAAACACTATGGGAGACTTCTGTGTTTTTGTGGCAAATTCACTAGCGAGTGTTGCTCCAGTTCTAGCCCAATGTTAGGGCTAGAACCCCTAACATTAAGCACGATATAATCAAATTTTACCTAGTTTTTTAAAAATATGTTTCATCCTTAATGTTTGTTAGCTAATCAATATCAACATGCACAAATTAAGTGCTAAATACAAACCTCTATGGTATGGTTTTGTGCAAACTACAATGATAGTATATGTGCTATGAATGTTTAATCAGTATGTTAATGAGTGTGTTTAACTATGAACTTCAGCTTTTTTCTGACAGTCCAAATAATAACCTTCGCAACAGACTATAAATTATTCTTGGCTCAGGTTTTATTTTATTCTCATCAGAACCCCTAATTTAACTCTTGATCATCACTTGCATTACATCTTACTCTTCAAGATCTTTCTATCAATTCCCCAATAGCCAGTAAAACCTGCATCACCAATTACTTTTCTGGGGCTTTCTTCCTCCTTTGTTTTTGAGCCAAGTGAATCTTCACAAAACCTGAACAAATGCTTATGCAATTCATGAGTACAGCTTTCCTCTTGGTTTGAGACTGGACCCTCACCTACCCTTCAAGTTCAGGATAAGTTTCAGTCACTTCATGAAACTGATAGGGAGGCAGCTAGAATCACCCATTCCCTAATAACCAAGGGAGGGGCAGAAAATAGAAGTCCTATCATGTACATTGTTACAAGAGAAAGAGTCTCTTCTCCAATAAAATAACGTTCTCCTATATAAGCAGAAGGAGTCAAAAAGGACATCCAATAAATTCTCATATTTAAAGGACCAATATCAGCAATATAGTCTATGTGTGCAATGCACAAAATCATTACATAGGATATGTATGTAATCATGCATTTTCAACAGAATGAGATATGTGGTTCCTTGTTTTCTTACTAGAGTATTTGGGGATTTAAGGAGATACCGTATTTTAGGTTCTGTAAGGCTAATTATCATGGTAACTTCTCATAAAGAACAAAGCTTCTTGAATCACTCATGGCATCCCTGCAAATGGCAACCCATCAAGGATGGATGACTTACAATTGGTTTGACCAGCTGAGCTAATTGCACCCACACATAAGCTGTTTCCATATCCAAACACCCACCCAACAGCTCTTTGGAGGCTGGCAATAAAACTGCTTTCTTCCTGATTGCATGATAACAAGCTGGCACCCTGCCCTGCAAATGGAAAGTCCCTACCTTAGGTAGGTCTTCAAAGCACTAGTGATCGTCTTTATCTCCCATTCAGCACAGATATCGGTCTCTGTTTCAGAAGCTGTTTTGGGGTCTAAAAAGAAGAAAAGGCAATGTGTAAACAGGAGCAGAAAATATAGCTAAAAAACAAGCACAGTACATAAAAGCATCAGCCTCTCTATTAACCAAAGAAATCCAAATTAAAACAAAAACAACACCTATTTTTTTGCTGGTTCAGTTAAGAATACGGTTAAAAATCAAAATATCTATTGCTGGCAAAAATGCAGTGAAACTGATCCTCTCATAAACTGCTGGAGGCAGAAGAGATAAAATGCAACAGTTTTGAAAAGCAATTTGGCAATATGTATCAAGAGACATAAAAATGTTTATACCCTTTGAAGCAGTAATCCCACTTCTCACAATCTAGTCTCAGAAAATAAAATAAAGCAAGACCAAAGTTACATACCCCAGGAACGTTTAATACAGGCTAATTCTTTGTAACAGCAGAAAAAATTTAAAAGGAGATAACCTAAATGTCCAATGATGGAAGAATGATTAATTTTGGCATGGCTCCCTGATAGAAAATTGTATTGCATTTACATGATAATGCTGACTATGTAACAATATGGAAAATGCCTAGATTATCATGCAATGTCAAGCAAAAACACCCAAACAAACCAAGATTTGAAAGTTTGTGAGAAACTTGTATGAACAAAGGCTGAAAGGAAATACTCTAAAAGTAAAATAGTGGTTGTGTTAGAGGGAGGGAACTGTTGTTTCTATATTTTCTGAACTATGACTTGATTCCATTACTTTTATATGTACTTTTATAAATTGCCTTAAGCCAAGAAGTGCAATGGGGACCTCCATAATTACACTGGCTCCTTATCATTCCTCTTTTGTCTCCTCTTGTGTGGAATTGTCAACAAATGTGTGTATTTTAAATGCACATGTATTATAAAGGAAGAGATCACTCTTAGAGTTAGTCTTCCTGGGCAGCACACAGCCCCATCTCACCAATGACGAGGTGATCAGAAGTGAAATCTTTCAGCACAGTGAAGACAGAATCCAGCTTTCTCACACGCAAGACTAGTCATTTGCCTCCCAGCTCTCACTCCCATTTCTTTCTATTATAGCACCTCATGTTCAGTAGGGCTGCCCTCTTCTCCCATTCCTATAGTACATATGCTTGGAGGCAGGCTCCATGCTTCCAGGGTTGGGAAATGAGAGTCAGACAGACCAAATCAAAGCACAGCATCTCTCTGACTCCATGGCTAGTTCAGGGAGAATCCAAGACCTAAGCCAGTTGGATCAGAGGGAACTTCAGGACCTTTCTAGGAGACAGGGGAAAAGCTCTCTGCTATTTCCTTTTGGGTTTATACCTGGAGGTTTTGGAAGGTTATCCAACAGTCCTAGGTGTCACCACCTAGAGCCCAAGAGTGAAGTCTGACAGACAAACACAGAGATGAAACAAGCAGAGAGAGCTTGATGATATGGGTTGAGCCCTCGTATTTTGCCCTTCCTTTTTAATCATGCAAGCCAATAAATTCCCTTTGTCCTCAAGCCAGGTGAGGTCAGGTTTTCTGTTTTTTACAATCCAAAGAGAACTATATGATACAGCAGGTAAACAGAAACAGCCACTGGACTCTTTCTGGACAGTCTCAAAGAAAAAAAGAGGTTCCTCCTACAGAGTCAACACCTTTTCAGCTGGAAAGGAAGAATGAGTCACAAGTGGGCACAATATATTTTCTATTTATTAGGAAAGAACCCACTTTCATTCAAGCAGGAAGAGTCCAAATAATCATGAGTGGATTAAGGATTTAGGCTCTAATCCCAGGTAAGGGCACAAATGCAGCTGATACCTACTGCTCTCAGCATGTTCCCCGATACATTTAATTTTTTTTTAAAGATTTATTTATTTATTTTAGGGGAGGGGCAGAGGGAGAAAGAAACTTAAGCAGACTCTGTGCTGAGCATGGAGCCTATGTGGGGCTTGATCTCACAACCTGAGCTGAAACCAAGAGTTGGATGCTTAACCAACTGCGCCACCCAGGCCTTCCCCTGCCTGATACATATTAGATGAGCCAGAAAAGGTCCCAGCTCACAAAATGTTTGGTTCCTAAAGGCAGCACGTGTATGTGTTTGCAGGTGACGCTGGGCATGAATGAAATCTGTCCTGTCACATGAACAAACAACAAACAACCTAAAGAGAGTGATTTTACTTCTAGGGTCACAGAATAGAGTTCCATCACAGCAAATTTCTGAAAAGTCAACCACGTGGTGATTCTCCAAATGACCAAAACCTCTGCCGCTTTAATTCTTTTCTTGCTTTGTCATCTCTCACTCCCTTAATGGTTTCTTCCTGCAGAAGAGTATGTACCAAAAAACTTTGCTTAGCATGACTTTTTCCCCTCCCCAACCCGAGACACATGGAGAGCTGCCATAGTGCATGGTTCCTGGATGCGAGACAACCGTTACTGTACATTTTTCTGAGGAACAAACCAACTTCTACCCAAGAAAGAGTGAGCATGACACTAAACAAGCAGTTGGCAGGTCTGGGAGTTATGAACTGTTCCACGAACCACATTTAGCAAACTAATGATTAGCTTCCATTTATTCGGGCTCTGTAACCATAGGAATATTGTGTAACATTACCGAGAGGAGAGTCAGATTACAGCCCTGCTAAAGGGCTTTTTATAGCATCGATGAGGCAAGGCTCAGAACTTGAGCACGTCCATTTTAATTCATTTAATATCCAAACTAAATTGAATACAGCCTCCCAAACCACCTAATTTTCAGAAAGTGCTGCCGATTTCCACACCTCCCTTACCGATGCTCCCCCTCACTTAGAGAAGCTTCCTGATGGCACCCAAATATGATGCAAAGACATAATTACAATTATCCTCTGAAGGCAGTACATTTCTCCCCACCAAGTCACCTGACCATTGCATTGCACTGTAAAATGGACCTAAGCTAGAGGATCAAACCAACGTACAGAAAGGCAGCCTGTGGGTAAAGTGAAATGAATGTATTTCTTCATGAATCTACTCCTACATGAATTTGGAAAAATAGGAGACAGACTGGAAGCAGTGGTTACAAGAGGGAATAGTCTCAAAAATATCACAATGATCAGATGGATCAGCAAGATCCATCTAGTCCAGAACTATGTTGCTGATGAAAACACGACAGACATTCTAGAGGAAATGATCAGGACCAGCCACCTACGTACTCCTAAATTTCCTAAGAATACATTATAATTGTATGCAAATTAATTTTTTCTCTTTAACTGAGAAAATAATACGTGCACATGGCAAAAAAAAATATTCAAACAAAACAAGTAGATAAACACTGAAAGGTAAACCTTTCCTGTGCTAGAGGCAATTATTAATAACAGTTCTGCGTATGTGTATGCTATCTCTAACAGCATATGCAAACACAAGCATATAAATACATACAGCTTTCAAAAAACATAAACACAAGTACACTATACATGTCATTTTGTGCACTGCTATTTTCATTTAACAGTATCTTGAGAAAGTGTTCCACATGAGCACACATATTTATCTACCTCACAGTAGTACTTCACTGTACCATAATGTCCCCATTAATGGAAATTAGGTTATTCCCTGAGTTTTGCTATGATAAACAATGATACAAACTACTGTTTCCTTGTACATGTCTTACCTATAGAAAAAAATCCATCAAAGTAAAATTCCCAGTTCGAAAAGTACATGCATTTTTATTATTTATTATTTAAAGATTTTATTTATTTATGACAGAGAGAGAGCAAGAGAGGGAACACAAGCAGAGGGAGTGGGAGAGGGAGAAGCAGGCTTCCTGCAGAGCAGGGAGCCTGAGGCGGGGCTCAATCCCAGGACCCCGGGATCATGACCTGAGCCGAAGGCAGACGCCCAACCGACTGAGCCACCCAGGCGCCCCGTACATGCATTTTTAATTATGAAAGATATTCCTCAACTACCCCTCAGAGGTTGTACCATTACATTTGAGAGTGACTCTTTCCCCAAATCCTTGACAATTTTCAAAACTTTGATCTTAGCCAATCTGAGAGGTGTAAAAAATCCTGTTTTTAATTTGCCTTTTTTTAATGAGGAGGAAGGTTGAGAATCCTCTCCTATGTGCCAAATTTATGAAGTATACTCACCCTTTCTAAGCACACAGTTTCATGACTTTGGACAAATGTATACAGTCATATAACACCCACAGTCAAGATAAAAGTCATTTCCATCACCACGAAAATCCCCCTGTGCCCCGGTACAATCAATCATCTCCTTCTACCTCCAGCCCCTGGCAACCACTGTCACAAAGCATAATACTTAGTTTGATCCTTTTATTACTGGATAGAATCAATTTTATGGATATCCCACAATTTGTCCATCCATTCATCAGGTGATGGACATTTGGGTTGTTTCCAATTTTTTACTGTTATGAATAAAGCTGGTATGAATATTTACATACAGATTTTTATATGGACTAAAGTTTCATCTCTTGGGTCACTTCCTAGGAGTGGAACTGGGTAAAAATATGTAGAAGAGGTCACATAGTATGTTTAACTTTATGAGAAATTGCTAAATTGTTTTCCAAAACAGTTGGGTCATTTTGATTTCCCACAGCAACCTGAGAGCTCTAGTTGCTTCACATCTTCATCAACACATGATATGGTCAGGTGTCTAATTTTGAAATTTTAGCTGTCCCAGTAGACATGAAGAAATTTTTTTTTAAATTTGCTTTTCTTTAATGACTCATGATTTTGCTCATCTTTTCATGCACTTTTTGTCCATCTGTGTATCTTCTCTGGTAAACTATTCAAATCTTTTACCCATTTTAAAACTGAGTTGGTTGTGTTCTTATTAGTGAATTACTTCAGTTATTTTTAATATATTCTGGATACAATTCATTTATCAGATACATATCTTACAAAAGATTTCTCATCTGCAGCTCTCAATTTCTTTTTCTTAGTAACTTTTAAAGAGCACAAGTTTTTTATTTGGATAAAGGTTAGTTTATCAGGTTTTTCTTTTATGTTTCCTCCTTTTTATATTCTATTTAAGACATCTTTTCTAAATAAAGGTCACC